TACTTTTTTCAATATCACATTATTCCTTATTGTTATATTAAACTGCATAAAATGATACCGATCAATAACTTGATCTGAAATTTGAAAGAAAAGAAAAGCAACAGAAGTGCTTATGGACATCATTCATAACGCTACTAATTAAGCCGAAAATAAATTAAAATTTGCTTCCATTCACACAGTGAGAGATTTATAAGAAAATATATTTTCTGACGTAAATTTTGGCAGAATTATCTGAGGAATTCTGACATGTTGAAAAATACTGAATGTAAACAACGAGCTTTTGCCAAATGTTCCATGTCCAGCCCCCTTTTTCCGATCGTCGACACAATTAGCACCGTTCGCACGACGATGAAGCGTTGCAATTCCGTAATTACCGCGGCTTTGCGTGGGTGTCCAGAAACGCGCAATGGAAATAAATATAAACGACGCGCCGCGCGGTTGGCTGCACCGCAGCGTCAACTTCGTGGATCGCTACCGGTGGGTCCTCCTTAAACTTGATTTATGCTCAATTACCGTAATCCTCCGTCCTCGCATCCACCTCGTTCCCGCTTGTTGTAAGCCAACGCGAAACGTTCGCGAATGTCGCGACGATTTTATTTATATGCGGCGCAAGCCAACCAGCCACATCTCTACAGCGTCGCGGCGCAACAGGAAGAAGAAAAAGAAAAGAAAAAAAATGAAAGAATGATAGAGAGAGAAAAGTGAAGAAGACTTGAAGAGAGATGAAGAAGCTTCGCATATTCCGTCGTGTACCGATGTAATTCGTTTCGTATTTTATATCTGGCCACAAGCGATCCACCTTTCCCTGCATCCCGAACCCTCTGCCAATTCCGCCAATGTGTCGAGTATGCACGCTCGCTTGATTCATCCCCGTGGAACGACGGCAACCTGGATTATTTCGATCTTCGCTCCCGCTAAAGTTAGCCAAAGAGATTACTGCGGCGCGACATGATTTCATCCACGGGAGACGAGGAGAGAAGAGGCGGATTGTGATGCGACTACGTCGTTTAAATATCACGATAAACAGGGCCCGCAGTAATTCGGATGTCGGCGCAGGTGCCACGCGGAAACATCTATCAAGATGGCGAGATTGAAGGTACTGCAAGACTCGGCCCATTCCCCGTTAGGAGAAAGGGCGGAAGGAAGACAAGGTAGGGTGGATCAACTCGAAGAAATGGGGGATTTCTCTCTCTCCGCAGGACAGAAAGGACTAAGCTTTCACAGGACGTCCTCTCCACATCGTCTTAACCCTTTCCAGTTAATACCGGATCGCAGGGAATTAACGGTCGCAACGACGATCATGTCTTCGAAAACCTGTCCACGAAGTAATGCGGCTGGCTGTCTAATAATTTACGAGTTCCGAAAATATCGTGAGAAACTTTATCGAAAAGCGATTGTTATCGCGAAAAATAGAAATTGGAGAAATCCTTAGAATATGAAATGCAAGAATGTTACATTATTTTTGCATCTAGTAATGACTTTTAAACTTACATGCTTGTGTTCTACGAAATCATTCATAAGCTTTAAAAATAACGTGCTTCGTAAGTTCATCAAAAATATAATATCGATGCAAGAAAATATAGATCATTATATCGTAAAAGCTACGTATCTACAGTTTTATTTCTCTCCTTTTAGATAATAAACTTGTCTGCAGAAAATTAAAGTACACTTCGCCGTGTAATAATTTACGAACACCCAAAATATCACGATTAATTGTTTGGACGTTTGTCAACAAATAATCGTTATGCAAAGTAAAATAAGGATTTGAAAAGAAAACTATTCTATTATGGTAAACGGAACGATATCTATGGTCGGAATAATTAACTTGAATGTCGTTGCGCAAGCAATACATGTAAGACGTAAGCTATACATGAAAGTCTACGCATAGTAAAAAGTATATGCTAAATTTATTATTATGAAACGTAATGCACGCAGCAATTTATGATTTATTAATTACCATTAAGATATGTGCTAAATCTCGTAGCAATTTGTCTTTTTTTTACTTATTATTTTTAACTATCTGTATGAATGTTTTACGATCTACGCTCCGTATCTTGTTCGTATCCATCACGATATCTACAAATTGCCTGGTAATGGTAAACGACTATAAATATGCGCTCCAATCGTTAATGTAATTGCCAGTGCAATCGCGCCGCAACTTATGGGTCACAATGACAGCGACAACGTCTTCACGAAATGTTTTCAAATACGAATGGTTCTACCTACTGAGTCATCGAAATATTAGATATCTCCATAACAAGTTACTACCTTCGTAAAAATTAGATAATTAGAATGCTCAGAGATAACAGCAATACAGAATCGATAACTGATATCAAGCATTTGCAAACGATTCAAATATTACAGCTACCGATATGATGATCGTTCATAGTAGAAAACATGGAATAGATAAAAGAGTATGTGAAAGATATCTCCGAGCAAAAGAAAATTTCATAAAAAATAGGGAATTTAGCAAAAATGATTGACAATAAAAAAGAGACTGCTAAGAGTGCGGTTATAACTGACTGACGATCCGGGTACAAAAATCGTAAAGTTGCTACGTAATAGCGAATCAGTATAATAGATATAATATTCAGTATGGCACTCTGCGCCAATATTAAAGTTGCATAAAGCGGTCATAAACGTTTTACAAGCTCTTCATTTCTATAATTGTGAGACTGCACGCCCAATGCGAGAGCGACAAATTATTTTAAATGCTACATTATGTCTGTGTGATACATCTACATTATACTGTTTCGTGTACATACACTATTCGACATTGTTAAGATGCTCTTACATTATTGGAACATGAATCAACTAGAGTATATTCATATATTGTTATATGATTAGTAGGCGTTATTTCAGATACACCCTGTATACTTCTATATTTTTCAATCTTATGTGATAAATCAGATCATATATATGTATATATATATATATACATATATACAATATACATATATAATATGTATAACCTCGTTTACTCTCCAGGGGGAGTTGCCGAATGCGTACCACTTAAAACCTATTTTTTATTATATTTTTCATTTGGCATTGTTTTGTATGCAAATGAACATTAGAAATTGTAGCTTGAGGTTTTGGACGCTTATTATTACATGTTTAACTTTTCACCAATAACAAATTAATTTGTTATGAGTCTTTTTGTAACATGCTACAAAAGATACGATTTGGGCAACCGGTCGCCTAACTCGTACTTATGGGTATTTTATATCGTATTTCCTTTGAAAGTATTGAATTTACGAATGAAAATAATTAAAAGTATAAGATTAATAAAAAAAGAAATTATTAACTAATACCTAATTTTAATAATTTATTGAAGAAAATCAAATATTTTATGATTATTAAATAACAATAATGAAAAAAACAAATGACACCACAATAAAATTGGCTTAAATATATTTTTGCACTTGACATTTATATTGATATCAATTATTAGTTTTATTATTGTCAGTTATCAGTCTTATCTTTTGATGGTACGATTTAGGAAATTTGATGGATTTTGTAAAAATATCGATTTAATCTTTACAACGGTTGCAAATATGTACAGTGAATGTAAAATATTCTACAATAAATCTTCTTTTATAAAAATACAAAAATTTATAATAAAATTGGACGATCGCGTTGTTATCAACTACATAAGTTGATTAAAAATTAATATCAGATGTACTTGATTTTTTAAAACGCCGCTAACGTCCATAAAACAAAATGTAGGTTATTATATTTTTGTCTATATTACTAATTTCTCATATATTTTATATTATTGTTACTAAATATTGCTTATATTAATTAATATTATAAAATATTGACGAGGTACGATTTAGGCGACCAGTACGCATTCGGCAATTCTCCCCTATATCTATTTCTCTAAAGACCAATGCAACTAAATATTCCGTTCATTATTCTCGTAATACTAAACATATATGATGAAAAGTAAGTTTCTCTATATTTTATTTTTAAAAAAGTAAAGATGCAATATTTTAAAATATATCAATTGTATTAGTCTTTTAAAATCTAAATATTCTAAATACAAGTTATTACGAGTTTGTATTAGTCTTATAAAATAATATATTATCTAATTCTTGTAATTTTATAAGATTATGTCTTTCTGTATTAAAACACGGTAACTATTTTGGAAATCTCACAAATACAAAATTCGTTCATCAAAATTATATAATTGTCGTAATACAGCACTGCATATCAATGACGCACGCGTTAGAGCAAATGAAACCAAAGTCACGAAACTACAGTTACAATCAGAGCTTCCTTGAGGTCATGGAAAAACACAAATTACGGAAATCAGTTCGCCTGTTGACTCGCTGACACGCATACGCCTACCGCGCCGTTTGTACTCGCGTGATTGGCGCGCTGAAATAATCAGCTCGTTGCAACGTCAACGTGCAATCGCTGGAGCCAAGCCCCAGTCGTGCACGCCTCGTTCCGTTTGATGTACGGGCGTAATTTCAGGGTGTCTGGAATTCGCATATGACACGTGCGACGTGCCGTATGATTCGACGCCTGTTTGCCGCTCTCATGCCCGCCGGTCTAGAAAAAGTTTCTCGCTTGGCACGCATGCAGCGAGCTTTCGATCGTCATCGCTTAGGAAGATTCGATCATGGTTGAGAGATAAATTTGTTCACATTTGCGAACCCCGCAAAAATCTGAATACTCTATAAAATTCCCGCTTATAAAGTTTTTGATGACAAATGTTTAAAACGAAATACATTTCACATTCTAGAGCAATGTATTTTCATTCTGTAACATATTTTAAATTTATATAATGAATTTTTTCAATATTATATAATATTAAAGTTAGGAAAGACAATTACAAATTAAAAAATTCGCGTATTAAACTTTAAAAAAATAAGAACTTTCCATTGATTTCTTCATGTAATTTCTTCATGAAAATAATGTGCAATTTTCTGGCGCCTGACAATTATAACTATTTTATGCGTGGCAAATATAAAATGTAAAAGATACGCACTCACCAATTATTAACCTGCAGGATCGTCAACCCCGTGTCCTGTGCCAACTGTTTTTTCTGGTCTTCCGAGGGATACGGATGCTGTAACCAGAAAAAGTAAATTCGCTCAATTAGCAATGAAATTGAGTATAAACGATTTCGCATACTCAAGTAACCATTAATACGACGCAAGTAAAAAAACTCAGGTACCAATTAGCGCGAAATTGCCGGCAAAAATTGCAATTATTACATATTAGTACAGAACAGTTGCGTTGAGCGTAATAATTAGCGGACATAAAGTACAAGGGTAAATAAAAGAATTTCCTTTTTTTTGGTCTCACTTTACCATCACTTTGCTGTTTCGCATCTCGCCGACGAACGTATGGCGGGTTTTTAAATAATTTATCAAGTGATTTATTGCATACTAAGATAAATATATAGAATACACAATGCGCCGCGTGTGCTGACTTTTATCTGCTTGATGACCCACGCATTGCGCTGTATCGTCTAAATGCACCTGCGAAATATTATTTATTACTGGTCAACAAAATTAAAAAAAAAAAAAAAAAAAAACCAGGCATAGAAAGAGGAACAGAAGGAGGCAGTGAAAGAGACAGCAGTGCGGGCAAAAAGTTCCTTTTATATATCGCGCGCTCCGACGACCGCTTTTTATCGCGCGATTGCATCGACGCAGATGCACTTGTGCTACGTCAAAACGATGCGCCAAGCACGACGTTCCTGCTTGTATTACCCCTCTTTTCTAAAAGAGAAATTATACGAAAGAACACCGAAGAAATGCAAGGATACTGACGTAGTACAGGAAATTGGCAAAACAAAAGACTCATTTAGATTCCTCTGAATTTATATATTATTAAAAAAAAAATCTTCACGTTTTTTTTCTTATTAATTATATATATATATATAAATCAAATTTATAATTTATTTTGTAATTTTGCGCACCAATTTCCGTGCCATATTCCTGTTGCTCTTTTTCTCATTATTGTATTGTTTTGAACGTTAAGCAGTCTTTATTATCAATTTCATGTATATAAAAATTACTTTTCTGTATCATTAAATTTTTAACTGTCTCGTATCTATCGTATGAAATTTAGACAGGTAAATTATAATTGTTTCTGTTTGCCGGATATTCAATGTACTCAATGTTATGCTACGCGCGTAAGCCTATAAATTCATGCAGAGTTCTAGCCGTTCTTCCAGAAATAATATTACACGTAGTCGCAGAAAGAACAAAATCTTTCCGACATTATTACGCATTCAATCCTATGTTAAACTTTTAAAGGCTGACCCGCACATGCGACATTGCCCACCTGCATTCTACGTTAAGCTCGCAGTATCTTTGTTTTCGCATATTAACCTTCGCAGAGTTTAAATATTTCTTTTTTTTATATGTGACACATCGGCAATCGCATTAAATAATTTACCACAGTAAAACCAAATTAATTAATTCGCTAGTATTAATTTAAATAATCACGTACTTTTTTTAATCTAAAAAATATCTTTGCTTTATAATTAGAGAAGAATAGAGAAATAACAAATCCAAATAAATTGATCTTTTACAACATCTATAAATAGGGTAAAATCTTTGCGGTTGGAATTGAACAATACTCGTAGAAAAGAATTAAAAAACTGTGCACGCGATGTATAGAAAACAGACACCGCTCAATTACGTTACACCTAGTAAAACGTATTAATATTGCGAGTACATCTCAATTTTAATCTTGTATTAATCGCAATTATGAAATTAGACGAACGTAATCGTCACAAGTAAATAGTCCGCCGACAGTTGCGTTCCCAATGGAAACGTTTCTTCCGAAGACTATCTATCCGCGACACGCGAGGGACATGTCAATTAATTTCGTCGATGTAGAAGGAAACTGAAAAATCTCTACTTGTACTAAAAAATACTTTAGCATTGATTTTATTTTCTATTTTATCGCTTTACATTTAACTTCCAAGATACAATTACAAAACATATTTAAAGGAATAATCGCATTTATTGTAGACCCCTATGATATATTTATATAAAATTCAATATAAAATTAACGTTATGCAATGTTATGCAACAAACGATGTTCGTTCTATGCCAAGTTATCGACTGGTATGAAAGGATCCGACTACGCATAAAAGTCAGCGGCTGCATCGCGCGAGCGAACAAATCGTATTATATTTTTACATAATTAGCACGTGGCGCCCGCGGTATTACGTCCTCCCTCCCTTTCGCTCTCGATCGTTACTTTTTACCGAAGCTTGCGGTATTTTTGGATACTGCCGCAGCCCACAAATCCATCCCCCAAGCCCCTCCTCAACCGACGCTGTATCATGTTTCTTGGAGGCGAGCCACGGTATATACATACATCAGAAGCGTGGCTCCGTTCCCCACCCGCCATCCCTGGTGCACCCCATTGTGCGCCGGTGTATATCCGATCCGAGCGATTCTTATCCTAATTAAATCGGCTGAGCGTATTGTCTGGGCGTAGAGTTTCCATCGGATCTCCGTGGATATCTAACGCCGCGTATAAAGCCGCGTTGAGCGGAGGATTGAGACGATCGTGCGGGCGCGGGGTCTCCGAGAATACCATAACGATTCAACGTGAATCGATGCACGCTAAATTGTAGATTTAAACGACATGATCAACGCACATATATGGTAATATCGGCGATAGGCCGATTGGTAAGATGTGCGAACTTCATTCGATTATTGAAATTCAAATCAACTTACATACACACACACACACACACACACACACACACACATATATCTCAGTTAATTTCCCCTCTTATTTTCCGTATAGTGATACAAATGATAAAAAGTTAATATATTTCGTAAGAATTGATATCAATATGTAACGTAAACACATAAGTACAACATATGCATTATTTTTAATGCTAACAAATGTATCATGAATAATGGTCGAATATTTTTACATTTGTAAACGTGATGTAATAACAATCATCTATTTTACACTCTTAATATCGATAAACTCATCGATATTAAATGATCCCTGAATCATAGAAATATGCAACATTTCATAAAGCGATACCACAGTTTCTCTTTACAGTTCGACCTTCTCCAGAGATAAGTTGCTCGTAGCTTCGTTGGTATATGCATAAAACAATCAAGATAATTGTCGAAGCTATGTGGGGACTGCCTGCTTTCCACCCTCTGTACAATTCGAGATAGCTGCTGCAAACGAAGGAGGAAGCAATGCTTGAGGAAGGGAGATGGAAAGCAGAAGCTATCCAATTACATTGAAAACAATAGTCTTAAGTGCTCGTGGCGGTCCGTTCTAGGCTACTCCCGATCCTGTAACGTCGATGCTTTTCCACGACGGTTTCTCGCTCTAGACAGCGTTATATTGTCGTGGCGACGCGCACGTTTGACTTCAAACAAAAGATTTTTATTATCCGCGGCACACTACGTGATATAATATACTTTTCGCTCTTATTTCTCAATCTTTTCATTATATTATTGTGAATATTTATATACAAATGTGTTTATTTATGTGTAATATGCATATGTAAAATTGCTCAATATATTATTTATTTTCAATATCCTGTTAAATAATAGGCATATATAACGTTATATTACATATATTTTTAAATTTACAGTGATATCATTAGTGGCATCGATGATAAAATCGATTGGTTCTATCCCGTTTGGTTCTGTCCCTTCGTCGAATACAAATCCGAGACGAAAACGAGAGAAGAAAGAAAGACAGAATGAAACGCGCCGCGTTGCAACAGCACGACTCAGTGGCCAAACAAGCGATAAAATGAAAATGAGCGGTAAAAAGACAATATGAAAACCATTTGGGTTTTCCCGAGGGTTGGGGCAAGAACGAGCGAGGCGGAAGCGGGGCTAAGTGTGTAAATGAGTCCGTAGTTTAGCCCGATTGCCTCTAGACGACCCCTTTCCGCGGTGCGCAAACCTCATCCACGGCTCGCTACCCTGATAGCAGCACCAGTATAGCTGAAATAACCGTAGTCTTCCTGAGGAGCAAACTGCTCCCTAAGACAATTCTCGAGACAATGAGATCGTTCGTAGCCCGAATTCAAATCAGTACAAATAGACGATGGATTAAATGTCTATATTAGATGCGGAGCCATTTCTTGAATTGATAGCTGCTCTGATATTTCCGGGGCCATTTTCGAAATTATTCAATTACGCGATACTAAATTGAATAACGTGTATAAACCTATCAATACACTGAAAAAAAGATTGGCTGCTGCAGCAAATTAGATGGTAAAATATGGCATAGCATTTTTAATTGGTTGCAGCAGTCAATTTTAGGTTGTGTTAGTCTATCGAAATCCTATACTGACATTGCAGATAGGCTAACGCAACCAAAAATTGGCTGCTGCAACCAATTAAAAATGCTATGCCATATTTTACCATCTAATTTGCTGCAGCAGCCAATCTTTTTTTTCAGTGTATAACATAAAATTGACCTATTCATTCGCAATAATTTACAAAATGTATATCAGCCAAAATTTATAATGCTCATTCGCGTTTAAGAATTAAATAATAATACAAATTTGCATACATTCCATTCAACGTAATTAATTCTACCTCTTTATGATGTAAAAGTATACATGTTATGATTGACCTAATTTCATGACTCATGAGCGAGATCATAACAGATGTTATCACGTATCAAGAAGATAGACGCTGTTACTCTTTCAGTACTATTCGCGCACTAATCCGTAATTTCGCTCGCAACGTTCCCGCGAGCGTGACAATTTGCTGGCGCATCGATTCGATGACGGGAACCGCGCGTGTGCTGCGTCAGGTCGTCGATGTTGGGATGGGTGGATGGATGCACATTGAAGCTCTTCCTGGCCTCGTGTCTCTTCGTGTCCTTCGTAGCTCCGGGATGTTACCCCCACCCCGTGGTAACCGGGGCTCTCGGTACCGAATGACACGTCGATGACGACCGCTGCTGACTCCGGCTAACGAGCGGGGCGTTGAGGGCGTGGGAGCCACCAGAGATCGCGCCTCGTCATCACGCGCCTCGGAGTCCCCTCTTCCGCCTTGCGTCCAGAGAATTCATGTCGAGAGGATGAGGTCACAAAGTCCGAAG